AACTACAAACTAATTTCCAAATTGTAATATTCGACACGTATTACGCAAATGCTTGGTCAGACAGCTCGTGTTATGTTTAGAGAACCGAAATTAAAAAAAAAAAAAAAACAGATCAAGATATAAGTTTATATAATTTTTTAGATGATATCAGCTTACATACAGTAGTTCTTTTTATATGAAAACAACATTATTTCCGGTTTTATATTTTTGTTGAGGGTGTCCTCAAAAGATTTGCTAGTTTAATAATTAAAGTAGCACGTATTGATGAAGCATGATGAAGTAATTCTTCACTTTTGGTGTAAGCTTATAATAAGGATATTTTAGCTATTGAATTTATTACAGTAAACACAGACATTAAATAAGATGAGAAGAGACGCACAATTCCATTCGATATTTATTTTCAAGCATTGAAATCAAGTTGGGATATATGTAGGCCTATACATTTTATATTTATATCTGTAGGTCTATATCACGTACATCCGGCAAAAATCAACATACCTGATTTTAATCCTCAAAATGTTATATATTTTTATTATCTTTCATGTCTATATTCTTTACAACAAATAGGTTATTTCATTAATAAGATAAACATTAGCAGTAATAATACAATATAAATAAACATACAGCCTACAAGAATTAAACTAACATTATTTTTGAGATTTTTACAGAGGAAAACATTTAAAAAATAAAATTCACAAACAATATTTTAATTTCATATTCAGGAGTTTGATGAGTGACACAATTTGTGGTTATCTATAAATAATTGTTAAGTTCTGTTGCCCTTTCAGTCCGGACATTCTTTCCTGATAATTGTGGCTTCTTTGTCTACATCACTGGAATAAAAAAATATTGAGAAAAGATAAAGAAACAGAGACAGTATCATCAAAATATAATATATAAATAAAAACAGTGGCAGATCCAGGAGTTTGAAATAGAGGGGGCCCACCAGGGAGGGACTTTGCCAAATGAAGGGTTCCCACCACCTCAGCCACACCATGGTTGGGGCGGAGGTAAGAAACTTTTCGATTATGGCACCGCTAGATGGCCAGAAATGGCACTCTCAGATTTTAAGTTTGAATGTAATTTTCTTTTTTTCCCCTCCAATTTTTTACGGCTGCCCCCTCCCCCCTAAAAAATTAGTGAGCGCCCCAACCTTAACACTATCATATTCAATTATCGCAATGAATAATGCTGCTGATACAACATAATAGTACTTCACAATTATTATCATATCAGCATTATCATATTAAATATTAATTATTTATAGTATCATCATATTACAGAATGATGTGAGGATTATTAAATACATGGTATTAGGTAGGACTAGTAGATCGCAATAGCGCAAACAAATTATGTATATTGTCATGGGTAAATAAAATGTAAAAAAGTGTACCATTCAATAGAAATGAATATATAGATTCATAAATACAGTAAATTTAAACAATAAACATATCATAACTATATCTTCACACAAACATTTGTCATGATATAATATTTTTGGAATGATTGATTGAATTTATTCGATGCTCAACATGCACAAGCAAGATAACAAATGGATTGGGATCAAGAAAAGTAAAAATTACCGAACTTCAGGAACACCCATTAGGCCAGAGTCCAGCCCATTTCCATTGAGGTCCAAATTAAACACGCTTTTCTATCATGAATTGAGCTGAAAGATAAAACATTTATTTTACATTTCGACTTTTCTTTAGACTGTACTGGAGGGGTGCCATGAGCGTTTCCTGTTGTTATTATCATTATTTTTACATTTCGACATTTCTTGTAGGCTGTACTGGAGGGGTGCCATGAGCGTTTCCTGTTGTTATTATCATTATTATTACTATCATTCTTATTTTTATATATTATTATTATTAGGCCTATTATTATTAATACTATCATTATTATTATTATTATTATTATTATTATTATTATTATTATTATTATTATTATTATTATTATTATTATTATTATAATCATAAATCCATATGTGAAAGTCCCCCTGGATCCCCTCTATTTCGAATTTCTGGATCCGACACTACAGTAGTAGCTTTACTTGATATCGATATCATGGAAGTACACATCCATGAAGAAATTAATATCAGTGTTGATAAAGACGGTATTATTTGGGCCTATCTCGATCACTTTCGCTGTCCTATAAAAATAATATAGAAAATATTTTTGTCGGGCTATAACAAATTTTGATTATTCAAGGTTAAAATTTGTGCACCAGATAATTATAGACTCTTGGTAATAAATTGCATATAGTGTCAATGAAAAAAAAAACCAGATACGAATCTACAATGTAAACAACGAACGGAAGTTAACCAGCCCCTAGCTGTAATTACTGTAAATAACGTTTCTTTAGCCAGTTTCTTTGATGGTTTTAGCCAGTCACTTGGATTGTATGTTGTTGAATCGGAATGCAGCCATGTCAGTGCATGCTTCTGTCGAGGAAATTGTCAATGCCTTCAATGTGGCTGCCTAACAAACTTAGTCAAAATAATAACCATAGAATGATGACAAAATTCCCATTTAACTAGTGAATTAACGATGCAAAATGTTCAATACTATACTCACATTTGTTATTAAATTGTAAAGTCTCCTTAGTAGTCCATTGAGTAATATTTATATGTAGAACGCCACCTGGAGTGGTATAAAAAACAATTCATTATTCTGTTTCTAATGCGCCATTCCTTTATGACAATGAGGATGATGAGGGTGATGATGATGATGATAATAATAATATTATTATTAACAATAATAATAATAACAATAATAATGATAATAATAATAATAATAATAATAATAATAATAATAATAATAATAATAATAATAATAATAATAATAATAATAATAATAATAATAATAATAATAATGGTGGTGGTGGTTATGATGATATTGATGATGTTGATGGCGATGATGATGATGATGGTGGTGGTAGTGGTTATGATGTTGACGGTTGATGATTATGATGATGATGGCAGTGATGATGATGTCGATAAGTATTATTATGCTGATTGTAGGATAAGAATCGACTTTAAAAAAAAAACTCCGATGGAATCAGTATGTAGGCTAATATGTGACACAAAGGTATTAATGGTCAAGCCGGTCCTAATTACTTGCAATAATTTATCACCCTTTGAAAGTGAGGGACATTCATTTTTGTAAAGTATGTAGGCCTATGTGCTATTTCCCGGCAGAGGAGCCATTTTTTCAACCATGGTGTTGTGTCCGCCCCTTGAGGGGACCGGGTAGTGTCTCTACTGGTTACCAGCATGGGCGCAGATCATGGGGAGATGGGGGACACGTCCCCCACATATTTCTAAGGGGGTTTTTGTTACACTCACTTTTTTGACCGCAACGTAATTTCATAAGTAAAGAAGATGCCTGAAAGTTGTTGAATTGAACTGCATAATTAATGACCCAGGTTTTAACGAAAGAGCGCTGTACAGCCAAATAAAGTAGGCCCTACTGTACATCTTATCTTATAGCAAGATTCCGGTATCTCTGCCCACTAACATCTGAATTATCTGTAATACACGACTCGAGTGCGCGTGCCTTTTGAGAAGTATGAGAACAAGTATAAGATTGGTTTTCGGCACACGAAGTAGGTAAATTAAAGTAAATACATCAAAGACAATTAAGTTTTATTTTCTATGGTACAATACAGAAGTTAATTAGATCTCTATTATTGCCGGAAATTGCAGATAAAATATCATAATGATGTGATGATGATGAATTTTACTATATAACAGTGTCATTCTGGCCATCTTGAGGTGTTATTCCTCAACCCTGATGGGGCTGAGGTGGGTGTGGACTCACGGCTTTGAAGTAAGTAAAGTAAAGTAAGTACATAAAAAAGACAATGTTTTTAAGTTTTATTTTCTATGGTACATCACGCATATTAAGGCCTATCTATGGTTGCGGAAAATCGATGATGAAAAATCAAGAGAAATTTGTTGGCGCTTCATTTTTACTATAATGGTGATGTGATAATGATGACGAATGTTTACTATAAAAGTGATATTTCCGGCCATGAAAGGTACTATTTCCCACAAATTTCGCACCTCGGCCCCAACCATGGCAGGAGGTGGGGCTGAGATGATCTTTGAAGTGATAAAGTAAACTAAATACATCAAAGACAATGTCTTATTTTATATGGTCTCATCACACTCTGTTGCCGAAAATCGATGATAAAAGTTCATGGGAAATTTTCTGGCGCTTCATTTTGACTATAATGGTGATGTGATGGTGAATTTTACTAAAGAGTGTCATTTTCTGCCATCTAGAGGTACTATTTCCTACAATTTTCGCACCTCAGCCCAACCATGATGAGGCTGAGGTTGGTATGGACTCTTCCCCCATCCCGCTCTTACAATGGCCGGACCATATTTGCAAAATGCTTCCGACGGCTATGTTAGTGAATATTCCTAGTGTACCCATTTTTGGTAATTCCTAGACCTCTATGCAATCGAGCCCGCCCTCTAAACGAAAGGTTTCTGCGTCCTGTACACAAGACATTTTCGAGAAATTACTACTAGGCCTACTTATAAATGACATCACATAGTCACATGGGACAAAAGGTAATTTAACGCAGAAATATAGAAGTTGAAATAAGCATGTTGATGGTATATTGTGACGCCGGTTGACTCGCAAAGGACACGAACTTGCAGACAATTTTGATTACAAGATTATTGAAAAAAAAAAGAAACCAGTATGCTTACAAGCGGAGAATAAATTGAGTCCATTCGATGTGAATTAAATATGGCCATAATTTAATCTTTAATTCCTATGTCGCTACTGTATCATTTGCTTGATGAATTCGTACCAGTAATAATGTCTATATATACAGTATCTCATGGGGAATGTAACTGCAAAAAAAAACCTGTTTGTGTAATTTGGATATAACATGCATATTGTTAACAAAATAGATTTTGCTCTTAGTAAATGCTTCGTGCATTAATTTAGGCGAATACAGTGCTGTAAAGTAGGCCTATTTCTCAGCCCGTGATTATCTATACGTAAATAGGCCTACTCAACGGGACATTTAATGTATCTTAATATTGTAAATTAAATTCGTCTGGTAGCGTTGGTTCGTTTAGACCTATATTAATGTCAAAAATACGTCTGGTAGTGTTTACTAGTGTTATCAATATGTCTGAACACAAAAACAAATTAATAAGAGATACCGCTTAAGGCTTACTCGTTGCACAAACATTTTAAATCAATATGGCATGGAATGATAGATTAAAATACGCGTTATTTGCAATCAACTGAAATCTAGGCTTCTTACAAGATTATTTTCACAAAATAACATAACTAGGGGTTTGTCTTGTTGATGATACCGGTTGTTGACAATAGTGTGTATATTATTATACAACTTTGTTGTCGGTCAGAGTAAGATGACGTAGTTTTAGCTTATCTGTTTTTAGAACAGCCGTATTTTATATATTAAGTTCCAGTTCAGTGGCGTATCTAAGCGTACAGTATTTAAATAATAATAATAATAATAATAATAATAATAATAATAATAATAATAATAATACTGATAATAATGATAGGCCTAATAATAATAGTAATAATAGATGAATTTATAGCGCAAATAAACGACGTAGCTATGCGCTCGACAATAGGTAAGAAAACAACGAAAAATTGCTAAATAAATAGCCTTAGCAAGGAAAAAAATAACACCAAGCTAGCACCCAAACCGAAGTATGAGGTTATACCGTCACCCTCGTAAATGGAAGAGCATAGGCAAATGCCCACTTTTCTAGTTCAATACAGTAGTTCTCTCAGTGTCGTCAAATAAATAGGTTTAGTCCTAGTTTTTTTACCTGTTTTAGAATAAATTAAAACCAGCAAAGTGTGATTCATTCCTCACTGAACAAATTAAACATAATCATTAATCGAATGAATAATTAAAGAAGAAATCATGGCCGCATTACCAATTCATATTATGCTTCCTGTCTTGTCGCAAAGATTGTCACGTTTTCGATACAGAATGGCGGCGCCAAGTGACAGCACCGCTTACAATATTAACATTAAATGTGCATATCGTCTTCTCTTCTTCTACTCATAGTCTTAATCGCAAGACAATACAGAATACATTACAAAAGAAATGCAACAAAATACCGAAAAAATTACAAGAAATTAACATGGAAAAGCATTACAACGAAACTCGAATCATTGCCAAGGAATAACAAAAGCGGTAAAACTATTGTCACCCAAAAAAGAATGTGCTATAGTAATTGTAACTTTCGATTGCGCGACGACAAAACGTAATAACGTCACATAAAATCATTTGCGCATGCGAGAAAGTTCACTTCTCGTTGGCTTCCCTAGATTACGTTGTGCAGAGAACAAAGAATGGTAACAGATGAGTGGATCCGTTCTAGAGTTACGTCACGTCGTATCGCACCAAATCAATAACGTCCATCTGTACGGGCAGGTACGAGAAAAAAGTAACTGGTATTGATATTTTGGTCAAACAGTGCTCGTCAACCCAATATGCTGATTAACGGGGGAAATAATATTGTGTGGATACATTTTGCAAAGGAGCCTTCCTAATTCCACAAAGTAGGCCCTATGCCTATATGATTTTATCTGGTGCCACCAATATTGGAAAATGTTGCTGAAACTAATCGACGGAAACTAGAAGAGGAATGTTCAATGAGTTGTAACATCAGTAACTGCACTTACTGCGTCGGTGATGATCATCATAATTACGCAAGAGTCTTTTAAAACCTGACGTCATATTAATTTCAAGCCTTTACTGTTATCTCAGTGGCGGCAAACACACCAAATTTTGCAAAATAAGTTATTTCACTTTTTTATACATTGAAACATTCAGTCGCATTCCCACACTAAACATCTGCCAATTCTCCATCGTGACTGCAGTTAGCTTCTAGAGACCCCCACCCTGCCCATAGTTTTTTTTTCCGCTGCTCTTTCCTTATGGTCCACAGATAACCTGGTCTGGGACCCTGTCCTTTGATTAAAATGTATTTATTTTAACCTGTCATCAATGCAGTCGAACATATTAGTGAAATGGATTTTGGCGCCAATAGAAGTACCGATGATTGATATATTATTTGACTGATTGATTGCTTAATTGGTAGGTTAATTGATTGAAAGATTGATTGATGATTGGTTGATTGATGAAATGATTGATTGATTGATTGATTGAGCTTACTTAGTTTTTTTTCTTATTATTAAAGTAGGCCCCGGTTAAATTTAAAGAACAGGAATAAGAGATCAGGTCTTCCACTTTGGGACTGGGGTTTCCATGGTCTTTAGCAGCTTTGGTCTCTAATTAGAATAATAAAGATAAAAAGACAGTTGTTCATTTGGGACCACAGAAAAGTGGTCTTAAATTGGAGGTCTTTAATTAGAGAAAGACCTGTATATGCATGGACTCCCTGATCGTGGAACGCGTGTAGGTCTACTTCTACGCCTACTACACCGTAATGTATGAAGCTTCGTGCGTGAAGAAAGAATTCAACATGTGCCAATTAATTTAGTAAATGTACAAAGTAATATATAGGCTAATTACCGACGGCGAATGCAGGTATAAACAAAATATATTCACTTAGCTTATTGAATGACTGTGTGGTAATGAAATGAATAATTGATATGGAAATGGCAAAACCTAATAGCTTTTTGAAATTTATTAATAGCGCCCTATTTTACCTTCACTCTAAATTTAGCTTTCAGTCCAGTAGGAATAACTATTATGGCTATTTATAGGACTTTATGACGTCATTATACCATAATTACTGGTCATAACTGGCGAAGCGTTATGCTATAAATTTGACAACATTCCGATTTTAACATACGGTTGTAATATTATCATTAGTATTTTAAATATTACTAATTTTTTTCACTCGTAGGTCTATTCATACTTTTCAAGAAAGCTAATTATAAGACTTATTGACGTCATCATATCTTAATTTCTGCTCATGTACAAGCAATAATATGTTATAAAGTTGGCAACAATGTCGAAGCAAACGTATAGTATGGTATGAACTAAATTACTATTGAATATTACTATCCGATTGTGTACTGGGGGGGGGGGGTTGTAAATATTTAATTTAATCATTATTACCGAAGAAATAATTTTCATTGCAATTTTTTTATTACTATAATCTTATGTATTACTCCACATAGCCAGCACACCTGCTAAAACTAGGACTGCTACTGGAGGTAGGCTAACTCCTGGCGTACGTTTGTCTCTTAAGCTTAAAATAAATAATTTAAAACAAAAACACTAAACTACTACTAATAAACACCAATCATTGAAACGCGAAAGTGCCGTCTTAGAACAGAGGCAGGTCATTTCATTAGAATGTTTGTTTATATTGTTTCCAGCGTACGTTAAAATAAAATAAAATAAAACGTGCTACAACCTAAGACAACCACCACCTTTATAATCGAAAGTCTGATAATATGGAACTAAAAAATTGAGATGTTTGAGATGTTTTAACTTGTCCATCCATCTCTTCTGCCATTATGATCATCATCATTAAAGTCGGCACACCTTGCGTCGACCGTCGAATCTATCTCTGCTCCATGTGAGCGCTGGACGCCATCTGCTGATGGCAAACGGTGGCAATCAGAGCGGATCCCCATAAAAACTATTCGTTGCGCGCGTTCCGTTCTAATTGAATCGCGTCGGACGAGTGTCGGCGCATTTTAAACACGACTTGACACAACATGCACATTCATCAACAAACATCGATATATGACCGTTAATAAAGTCGCAAAGAGAAATTTCATTTCATTTGGTACATTTATATTCATTTCAATTGTCGATAATTATGTTTTTATTTTACCATCCTATAAAATCGCAAGTTTCAACGATTCTAAAACTCAAAAAACCAACCACATCGGTTGCAAAAAGCAATGTTTAAAAAATGAATCAGTAGGAAAACTTATATATTTCATAACACATTTGTTAAATGAAATAAAAAATCGTAACTAGAAAATATAAAATATGATAATACATTAAATGGAAAGCAATATACTCTATATCATTTATACAAAATTATTAATAAAATAATTATTTAGCATTAAAAATTAATGTTAATACCGTCCTCGGACAGCGATCAGAAAAAAAACACCCAACACGAACCCATCGTTTACAGCCAGTATTAGACAAACTATACGGTAGCCTAGAGAGTCAATCATTCAAATTCATACTTATGTAAGACATGCAAAAAAACAAAGCAAAATATATGAGTGTATATTAATATGCGTTTCCTGATATCACACTATATTTTCGGAATAATTTTCAGACAACTTCGTGAATGCAATTTGTTTTGATAAAAAAAAAAAAGAAGCAGCCTGTGCATCGCTCAAGCCTTTGCTTGGATCTACTTGATTGATCACTCCACCTTACCCTTAAATTCACCTGTCGGCTGGTTCACAAAAATCACATCTCCTCGAGATTTTACTAAGAATTCGTTGAATTTAATCAATAAGTAGAAGGTTTCTTTCCTTCATAAAAAAACGAAGATTATTTTGCAATCCAAGGAAATTAAATTGAATAATATTCGGTTTGTGTAGCAATGAGAATTAATTTTTCAGTGATATTTAGTTTGGTTTACTGCAGCACAGCATAGGCAAATAAAATTTAGTATTATCAATTCAATGATTTTTGGGTTTATAGCCGCATTTAGGCATTAAATTCAATGATTATGCTACTTTACCGAGCAGTGAGTTTGCAAGCAAAATATTATATTCAATTATTTTCGTGTCCGTTTAGCAGGACTCCTGTCGAGAAAAAATTCGAACCACCGGCCTACTTTAAGTAGGTTTTTCGCGACGGAGAAAGAATAAAATGAAAGGACGACATCTTAAGTCAGCTAAAATTAAGACACGATAAAAAACAAAACCGCATTTATAAAGAGTTATTTTTTTTCTATTTTTAGAGACGTAATATATACTTCTATTTGCATGTAAGAAATAGTAAAATCTATTTTGAGATAATTTTCTCATCTGAAATTGAAACTGACATTTTAACATGCTTACAAATTGATATACACCTAATATTTTTGATCCAGTTGAATCTAGAGCACTGCATAATAATGAAACATCCTGAGCACACTATTTTGGATTGGCTATGATGTAGTACGTAATCACATGCAATTGGTCACACGTACGTACATACGCAGTCGATGTCCGTTATAATGTACAGTACTGCACACGCGCATCTAATGTCAGCTCACGAAAGAGAAAATTAAAGAAGTAAAGGGACAACCCAAGCATACCATTAGATCAGTTAGCATAACTTCTCCGATTATAACCAAAACTATCAGAATATCATTAAAATACATTTTCTTAAATAAGATATATCTCACAGAATAATTGCGATGTCACCAATTTATTTTGCTCAAGAAAGTCTCTCCGTTAGCGAGACAAACACATGCTAACGTCTTGATTGGTTAAATTATACATTCATTATTATGTGTATAAATCAAAAGATTTATTAGCATGGTAATTTTTGTAGACTATTAGAAATGTTTATCATAATATTGACGGCACAATCATCATTGGCATGTTGTTCATGGTATTCAGAATATATTGACATTTCATAAATTCTCTCTCTCTCTCAAGTATTAAAGAAATTTACCTAAATACCCACCAAAATTCAGAAGAAACAAACTAGGTAATCTATATGTTGTGTAGTTTTATATTTTAAAATTATGCATGGTTCACACGTACGAGAGGATAATAATTCTTTTTATGTTTGTTATTCTCATATAGAATAAATAATTTTGACCTTTACCTTAGATATACACTGTTGTAAATACCATGCATGTTTACTAGAAAATCGTTAGTATGACCACCCTTTAGATAAATAATCTGTTATATGTCGTCATCAGTCTATTACTTATATTTGTAGTAAATGTTACGGTAGCTCTCCATTTACTAATAGGACAATTTACTAAAGTATAAATTTTGAGATCATTACATACTTCAGTACATGACATAACATATTTTGTTATATCATTTAAATTATAAATTCTTGAAAGACAATATTATGAAAAAGAAATTAAAGGATGGAGCTACAGAGAAAAGGAAAGGGGGGGGGGGAAGAATGAAAAAAATGAGGGGATGTGTGGAATAAGGTTACAGGTATGGAAACGAAAATGAACACTAGATATAAGATGTGGAGAAGGGAAAAAACTAGCAGATCACCAAAAACGTAAATAAATAGAGCATATAATAATATATACATCCCAAAAATAATGAAGAAATTGCAGTAAAGGTTACACATTGAGGAGAGACAAATCAATCAAGGGCTTTAGCATAATTATTAACTTGGATTTGGTGAGTCTGTTGGCTGATTAAGGATTTCAGAGAAAGAAAAAGGAGGGAGGGGTGGGGTTAAAGGTTGGAAGGGAATATCTACAAGGACGTATTAAACACTGTTGCATAATTAAAACACTACCAATATCCAATTCTCTCGTTATCATACCTCTGAAATAAATATTTTAATAACATAATGAAGATTTCTCACTAGGAATGTATACTTTTTTTATATTGGAATAATGATTTAATAAATCTTTTTTTACAAACTACCATATTCTAAGCCTCTTAAATTCCAAAAAATAAAATATTATTATCATAACAAAATATTTAAAAAAACATAAAAAAAATTCATAGGATATACATATCATGGAACTATGCAAATTAAATATGTAAATGAGATTAACTCTGCAAATTTACTTAATATTATGAATATTTGAATCTCAATATAAATATGAAAATGATATTAAGATTATGTTAATCTGTAGTTTCAAATTAATGTATACCATTATCATTTTAACACTCATCAAGGTATCTACGAATATACTTCAGTAAAAATAAGTCACAACATGTCTATTTTCTTTTTATCTATTATATTTCTAAAATATATACTTCCAAAAAATCTAAAAAAAACATGAGATCCTCGTGCATCGATGATTTCATAATATTCTGAGAACCACACTTAACAAACAAATATATAATTGTATTTTTTGTTTCTTCATACAGACAATTTGCATTCCTTCAGCAAATGTGTGTATAAGCACCAACAACCATGATGTTTATTTACCGCTATGAAGCGTGTCACTACCCCTCGTGTCCATTCATGCCAGGATCCATCATACGTCCCGCTCCAGTCGTCTGCATACGTTCTAACTCCACAAGACCTTGTCGCTGCTTCTTCTTTCTTTGCTCTGTCATCTATTGAATGGGAAGTTATTATATTGTTAAAAATTGTATGTTATAAATTATAGTAAATAATAATATACTATTAATAATAATGTTAAGTAATTGGTTCAGCCACACTGTCAAAAAAGTTGGATACAGAAGACATATTTAAACTAAAATTAAGTTATTGTTTATTATAAGAAATCAAAACATTTTTCTATTGCAATATGTATACAATTAAATCTAAGAATTATAACTGCTCTTTAGGAAACCTCAACAATCTCAAAGCCCTGTCCACACTATTAAATTTTATTTGACAAAAACATGTTACATGCCTAAATATGGTCATGATGACATCACATCATGACCATATATAAGCACATCATGACCATATATGGGCACATCATGACCATATATAGGTCAAAATAGTATGAAGGTCTTGAATACCATTAAAGGAAAGACAGCTACGAGCAGATTTACATTTATGTATAAGGACAAAATAAACTGATTACATTTGAATGAATAAACCCATTTGGTTCATTTGATCAATCTTCAAATCTTTTTGACCAATCTTGGCATCAATCATTTACGACTGAACCTAAGAAACAGTTCTAAATTTATCCAGATGCTATGAGCATGAGACTAAAATAAACTAATTGTCTTACATAAAGAAAAGTTACCCATCCTCAATCTTAATCAATAAAATGGACAGTAAATGCTATACTCATTGTAAAACCTTCTTGATGATAAGAATAACTGTTAGAAGTGGTTGTGTTTGGAAAGTGGTTGGCGCATCAGTTGTGGTTTGGACTCCCAACCTCGAGGTCGGGGGTTCAAAACTCTCGCTGTGCAAGTCGCTTGTGTCCTAGGGCAAGGCAATTTATCTACGGTTGTCTCTCTCCACCCAGGAGTACAAGTGGGTACCTGGTAGGTTCAAACACAGCCTGCACTGAATACAGCTGCAACATTATGGAATTCCCCTATGGGGCTTGAGTGTGTGTTCCATATGTGCTTGATCCAGTGATCCGGGGGTAATAATGTTCAAGCGCTTCGAGGTTGTGTCAACGGGAGGCGCTATATAAATCCAGAATTATTATTATTTATTAGAAAATATTCTCTTAATCTATGAACAGTTTTGGAGTCGAAACTCCTTCCACTGTCACTTCAAGAGTCCATTATTGTCAATAAAGTTGATTGATTGATTGATTGATAGATTGATTGACTGACTGATTGAATAACTTCAAAGATGAAGTTTTGAAAATAATACATTGAGAAGCATAATTTTTTCACTCATATACCATATGTACAATTAAATATTTTTTTGATTAAATGTTTGTTTCAAGACTAATGTGGAAGCAGAACAAATTTCAATCTCAGAGACCTTTTTAAACTTTGATATTAACATCTACGATGAAGTTTAGAAAAATAAATTAAGAATCATACTCGGATGTATCCATGTAGGAGGTTAATAGAGCATAACATAGGAACAGAAAACAATTTAAACTTTGATATTAACTAACATATTAAATGTCCTTGCTTGTACTTAGTCTTATGACGAAAAGTAGGCAAAACATAATCAGTATTACTAGACAGGTTCAGACAAGGTAGACATAAGCTTGAGGTAAGCTCCAAGTAGCCGTTTGCCTGTCGTAAGCTCAACTGGAAAGCCCATGAAGATGCTATTTGTACTTTGCTTCTCTATGAGTACAATAAATAATTTAGCTTGTAATATATGCTAAAAAGACAAACATTTGCTAAATTTTTAACCTTATTAAAACAGAATAAATACAAATCTACATTAATTAACAATTTAGTATGGAAAAGCATCGATAGGAGTAATAACACCGGAGGCATTATAATAGTGATATTTATAGGTTGTTGTTCATATGAGGATTAAAAAGGTGGGAGGCTTGCCATTACTAAAGAATTGATGGGAATAAATTCATAGGCTGGTATATGTTATGACATTATCTTGTTGTGCTATCCTGATATCTGGTAATAAAATAATTTTAATGTCAAATAGATTATGAATTGAATACCAACGCACAGAGGCTACAGAAAATACTCGCAACGAAAGGATGTATATTCAACTCAATCAGGGTTTATTGAATAATTTATTATAAAAAGAAAATTATAGAAAAGGTTCAAGACCTCTGTGTATGGTCATAAGGAAGTATATGAAGTCATTGTCATCTTTTGGATTTGATGTTTATACTACTGATACTATGTATTTATTGTTCCTATTATTGTGCATGTCTAACATAAAATGTGGCAAAGACAAGCCATACCAGTCACTCGTTGACAATCCTGTTTAGACATAATGACAAAAACATGATGGAATGTCAAAATTTTTGAAATCTATTTTGTCACAACTAAACTAACCTTTATATATCTATATATCATGCTATGCTCTTATTTTCCCCATTTTCAATGTTAAAACAACAATTTTTTACAATTTAGTGACGGATTCTTCCTGAGAAATGCCCAAAATCATAAATTTGAAGACTGATTTCTCAAATATTGTCCTTTAAACAGCTGTATGTCTAAACTCCTGTAACTTCAAAATAAAATGTCAGCTTTTAATGATTTTTCTACCATTTTATAGCTCTCATTTTACTGTTTAACCCTGTATTAATAACTAAATATCAATCTTTGCTACAAGTGATTGGTTTGGCTTGTCTTTGCCATAATGTAACATAAACACTACATATTATTTTATTAATGTGTGTTTTGTATTATATTATTAATGTGTGTATATAAATAATCCCAGCTTAATAACTTGGAAGTTACTAGAGGTTGTTAACATGTTGCAAAGTTCTTTGACTCTACACTAGTATAGCATATTATTTATAAACTATTAATGAATATTAAAAATTTATTTAAACATGAAAGCTTATGTCACACATGGGGTTTTTACAAGGCCATGTTGCAATTATGAAATTAAAGAGAAAAATATTTATAAAAACTATTTATGGCAAATCACGATTAAAATTTCCTCGTAAAAGTACATTACATACCAGGTCATAACAAGAGCATTATATAATGTTATTCTAAACATATTTATACTACAATATTATTATTTTCTGATTTTCATTTCTTTTTTTGTTCATGTGATTCACAAGCTAGGTCAGTGCTGCATCACTGAAAGTGTAATCACTTTAAAAAGGTAGAGTAAATAAATAAATAAACAATATTCACTGTAATATAACAAAATATTTGCATAGTGAAGCTGTAGTTGTTCTTAGCCTCTCACCTTTATCATGAAGTGAACATAGCTTTCTGGTCCAGTGAACTCAGTTTCGTCTTTCACGTTCACAAGTACGATGAAATATAGGTAATGCCACATATTATGTTCTTCTTTTTTATGTTCCTCAAATGAAACTTCTTTGTTGTCAAATGCAGCTCGATCAAGCCCTAAAAAAACAAGTAAAAAAAATACAAATGCATGAAGATATATATATATATATAGATTAAAAGGCAAAATACTGAAAAACAACAATGCTGTGGGAAACAATGGCTGGATCTCAGTAGAGATACAAAAATGATAAGCAACAGCTAAAAAGTAAACGTAAGTAAACAGCCAAAAATAGAACCAGAGCTTTCGGACAACACTAGTCCTTCCTCAGTGGCGAGTGA